ATTTTACACTGGATCAGTGTGACAATCCAATTTATAAATAAAAATAGTTTCTAGTATCTGTGGAAACCGAAATTCCAGTGAGGTGATCGCTGCAGTTGGAATTAAATGGCCTTGGATAATATTCACTCAGCATCATTACATATTAAGAAACAGCAGTTAAAACTTCCTGTTCCCTGGTCTCTATCATGGCCATGTTATTTATGAATTATTAAATCATTGTACACTATTCATTTATATTTCATATTTCTTATTATAAGTAAAATGTGTGCACAAGTAAACACTGTTAGGAATATAATCTAATGGTTGGGTTGGCAATATATAAATCATGTAACAATGCTATACCTATTTCTTTAAATCATACTGTTTTCCTCAATCAGCCATAAGAGGGAGCCAGAATGACTGTTAGCTCTCTGGGCTGATCTGATCTGAGTGTTTTGGAAGCTGGCAGTTAGAAAGTGCCGTGAGCTATTGTAAATTTTGCAACTCCTAGCAAACTTTGAGTACCAGACTGTTTGTATGTTTATGGACTATGTTATTTGGATTATCCCTTAACTGAAAGACGTTGATGTCTGACTGTCTTATCCGTGTATGACTTGGACTGTTTGATGGACTCTGATACCTCTATTTCCATGAAAGTAAAAGCCTATTTAAACTGCAGTGTCTCTTTATGCTGGTTTGTGTGTTCTCCAACACAACTCTCACAACGCTTCTCTGAACGCACTCGCTCTCCCAACGGAGAGCTTACCTAACAAACATATTTTATACTACATAGAAATAAAGCTGCTGCTATTGGATGAGGGAAGTTTAGCAGTTTAATGTACAGTAGACAAGACTAGGAAACCCAAGTTATGCGTGCAAATATTATTATTATTATAGTAACACTCCCACAAGTCTTAATGTGCTTCTGCCTTCCTCCCTTTATCTCTCTATGAACTAGGTATGAGGCGTTCCAAAGGTGCTTTTTCAAGAGGCAACTGGATTTTCTGGTTTTTCTTCGAAGACATTTCTCTTCTCATCCACCATCAGATCTGACTGGATGGTGAATGGAAGGAATCCAGGCAGAGCTGAAGAAACTTCTTGGAGAAGTGAAGCGTCTTCAAAGAAAAACCAGAAAGTCAAGTTGCCTCTTGAAAAAACACCTTTGGGACAACCACAACTTAGAATCTCCATAGACATTTCGGTGTGAGGCATTTTCTCAGGTTTCATTCCTGACCAAGACTCCGGTTTCTTTTCGCTGACCGTTGTCTTGGCTGAGGCTCTTCCTTCTGTTCTTTGAGGTTATTCCTTCTCTCTGTTACAGTTACTGCCTGTTTCTCCCTAGGACAGGATAAGCCAGAGTTCCCTCCAATCATTTTGATACAGTAAAGAAGATAAAATGCCACTTGTACTTTCCACTTTCTGTGTCTTTTTGGTCACATAATTATGTTCATAATTATGCCTTTTAACAGAAGAGGGGCTACACTCTCTGCAGTTGTAGGGGCAGAATTTGTTTTTGTACATATAAACTCTGAAGATCATAGACTGAAAATATTATAAATGAACTTCATTTAGTGACTGTTCAAAATTACAACGGTACTGAAAAAAATGAGTTGACTATTTTTCACACAACTGTTGCAGCATCCCCATGGTCACGTGATTTAAATTCAGATGCTTGACAACTGACTCGTATTTATGACATTTGCAGTGTCAAATGTTTCCCTCTATTTCTCTCTCTATCCCTTTATCTACCTACCTACCTACTCTCTCTCTTCCTACCTACTGCATTTCTCTCTCTTTCTCTCCCACTCTATTCCTCTATCTACCTACCTACTTTTTTTTAAAAAATGCCTCTTCAAAACCTGTGTGCGTCTTATCCTCCGGTGTATCTTATACTCTGAAAAATATGGTAATTCTTGGAATTTCCAGCTAGGCTTGAGAAAGATTTCTTGGGGCTACTGCCAGCCTTGTATGGACAATAAGATGGCAAAAAATATTCTGGTATAAGGCCAGTTCCTTCCTTCCTTCATGTTAAATTACTCCTGTTTTATTCAGAATCACGAATTATGATCTTCTTTATTTTGGGGCAATCCTGATAGAAATGCCATCTATGATACATGTGCATGTTTAAAAGAAGAAATGTTCCCAGCTGTATGATGTGTAGTTGCTTCTTCTTCAAAGCCTCTGAGCATAAAGGAATCCTACTGACAAAACGTGATCATTTTTTTAACTTATACAGCGGTGCAAGTTCAGCAGTCGGCCATTCCCTATTTGGTATATTAAACAATGCAACTGTCGAATACAATAACATTAAATACAAATCTTTCAATGTAGTAGTCCAACCAATAGAAGGCTCTTATATAGTGAATATGCAGTGCTTGTGCTGAGAGTGATGAACAACTTTGTTAAGTCCCAGGCAGAAGTTGGGAAGGGTAATTGATGCAAGGAGTTCCTGGCTCTCAACATCTTTGCTCACTTGAGGCTATAGAAGCTGACTTCTATAGCACAGAATCAGTAATGTTTACGGTGACTGAAATAGCAATAGCAGTTAGACTTATATACCGCTTCATAGGGCTTTCAGCCCTCTCTAAGCGGTTTACAGAGTCAGCATATTTCACCCACCTCGGAAGGATGGAAGGCTGAGTCAACCTTGAGCCGGTGAGATTAGAACCGCTGAACCGCAGATAACAGTCAGCTGAAGTGGCCTGCAGTACTGCACCCTAACCACTGCGCCACCTTGGCTCTGATGAAGTAATGGCTTTCCAGTCTGAGGACAACTGCTCCACAGTCAGTCCAAAAACTGAGAAAATGAAGGCTGATTCTGAGGAAGAGTTCCTTGGAAGGAAGTAGATATCCACTTGTATTGATGGCTCCTTGAGGGGAGGAGGCTCCTATTAATTACTGGTTATAGAGAAGGTAGGAGGAACGCGGTGGCTCAGTGGCTAAGATGCTGAGATTGTCGATCAGAAAGGTCGGCAATTCAGCGGTTCGAACCCTAGTGCTGCATAAACGGAGTGAGCTCCCGTTACTTGTTCCAGCTTCTGCTAATCTAACAGTTCGAAAGCATGTAAAAATGCAAGTAGAAAAATAGGGACCACTTCAGTGGGAAAATAACAATGCTCCATGCATCTTTGGTATTTAGTCATGCCAACCACATGACTAGAAACAGAGATGAACACCGCCCCCTAGAACCAGAAACGAGTAGCACGCATGTGCAGGGGAACCTTTACTTTTATAGAGAAGGTATTTGCTTTGGATGAAATGACAGTACGGGACATGTATTTGCCTCAATAGGCACCAACTGTCCCACAGCTGTGACCCTATGAAAAAAATAATGGTCCTTCTCTGTCACAGCACCTGCTCTCTGAGATCAGGTGTCTTACATCTGTGCAGCTGCTACCCTGATAGCATTTCAGAAAGCTTTGCATTAGGGTGGTAGGGGCTAGCTTCATCTGATCTGATCTTCTTCATTACTTTTCTTAAAATGCTTTATTATAATATTGTATTCTTATATTTTGTTTGGTTTTATTTTACATCACTCAGAGTAAGTGTGGAATCAGATGGTACCTGAATTTAATCAATGTAGGGTTAGACTAGAAGACCTCCAAGATCCTTTCAAACTCTTGTTATTCTGTTATTCAATTAAATAAATTAAAATGCAGTTTGCCCAATAAGGTATTTAATGTCCGTACCACCAAGATAGCTTTCTTTCAAATGTTTCACTCACTCAGTGCCAAAGTTGAGCAGTCCTAAGGCAGGCCTGTAACAATGTTTTAAGTAGTAAGTTTTCTGGCTCATCAGGCATGGGAATGCAATTTGGAAAAGCCACGTTTGAACAGAAGAGGTTTTGTCCAGAGTTGAAGCAGAGTTCCGCGATAAGGATGAAAAAGATGAACATTACTTTTCCATGGCTGCATCTGGACTCTAGACTCTTAAGAGGCTTGTTTTGTTCTTGCCTTAAGGCCTTTTATTACAAGTTGTTTTCTTTTGTTAGAAATTACTATTTCAACAACTGCCTGTTATCATTTGAAAGTTTTACTTTTGTTTGTCTTAACTGATCATTAGTACTCTGAAGATTTTTTTAAAAATAAAGGCACAGTAATTATTATTGCCACCAGTACTTCCTACAGGTAAGACTTCTTTTGAACACTGTTCTAGAGTTTAGTCCAGTATAACTTTTGAAGGAGAATGGTGGCCTAGTGGTTAAGATGGTGGGCTTGTTGGCTGAAAGGATGGCAGTTCAAGACCCAAGTACTGCACAATGGAGTGAGCTTCCTTTCCTGCCCAAGCTCCTGCCCAGCTAGCAGTTCGAAAGCATGCAAATGTGAGTAGATAAACAGATACCACTTCGGTGGGAAGGTAACAGTGTTCCCTGCACCGCAGCGTATAGTCATGCTGGCCACGTAACTGCAAAGTGTCTTCAGATAACATTGGCTCCCTCGGCTGGGAAATGGCTAGAAGCACCGCCTCCTAGAGTCAGACACGACTGGATGGGGGAAATCTTTATATTTGACTTTTTATAAAGAGAACACATCTAAGAGGAAAAACAGTTTCACCTAAGACCCTTTAAAGAGTCTTCTCCCTGTCCCATATTAACACCATGTTTTTGAAATAAATAAATTATAACATGAGAGAATGCAAATTAGTTCTTGAGTGCAACCTAATCTGAACAGAATACCAATTCTCACAGCAGTTGGAGCACATTATCTCTGAAAATTGAACTTGAACTTCACAGGAAATCTTTTCCTTGATGTGATCAGAAAAGGGCCGAGTTTGTTTAGAATGAAATGGGGAAAGAAGAAATGCCAAGTATTTATCGGAAGGATGTGTAACTTGAATGGAAAATATCAGGCTTAATATCCTCATGCTTAATATCATGCCTTAAGAAAATAAAATGCAAATGGGGGGATGACCCCAAATAAACCCCAAAGCAACTTCCCATGGTATGTCCAATGAACTTTTGTCTACCATGCAAAGAAATACAAATAATGCCTGCTAATGCAGCAAAGAAAATGCAACTTGTGTCTGATAGAATTTTTATTATTATTATTATTATTGGACAGATGAACTAAAATAAGCCAACAACATAATTATATGCCAACAGCCATCTCTCTTAGCATAGTGATGGCAGACTGTGTGCCCCCTTCCCATCCTGTCTCAGGCCCCCTTTGGCGAAGAAGAAGCAGTCATGGCTTTTACCACAGGGTGGGATTCCTCCCCTGGCTAGTATATCTTCTGGCATTTCTCTCTAAAAATACCAGAACTTTTGTGGGTGCTTTCAGGATCCACACGTTGAGGCCAAGGAGATCAGGGAACCACCTTCCTTAAGTGCACTGGAAGCCTTATTGCTACTTTAGTTGGGCCAAAACAATTTTCCTCCCTGTTAAAACCCAATGAAGGGTTGATGCAAAAGGTCTGAGGGAAGGGAAGGAAAAGGGTCAACTGAAGTAAAAACAAAGACAAGTCTCAATGTGCCCCCCATGTAAGCCACTTTACATGTTAAGTCACGGTTTACAACTTTTTTTAAAAAAAGAAATGGCAGTACCACCATCTTAGAGTGGAAATGAGACAGATAAAAAGGGAGCTTGCATTCAAAGACAAGGACCACTTCCCAAAAGGAAGTGGGCAGAATGGGGGAAAAGGGGGAACACAAAAGCAGTAGCCCAACTCAAAAAATGTGGTTCGTCTCTTAAAAACAGCACTCATAATCCATTGGATAAGGGAGGAACAGGAGAGAAATGGAGGGAAGGAAAAAAAAATCCCCACAGAACTGGTGCAACGTCTTGCCAAGGATGATGCATTTAACCAAAACTCCATACAGTCCCTTGTGTCTACATGTCCTGTGGTGGCAGCATAATTGCTCAAGCTGTCTTGGTTGTGTATGTGTATGTGTATATATATATTATATACACATACACACACACACATAAGCACATATACATATGCATACATCCGAGAATAGAGAGTAATTTCCTTTTTTAAGCGTTGGTTTTGCTCTGGTTGGGAAGACTCATCTCTCCTTCACGTGGTTCTGTGCTACTGCACTACTACTACTGCTGCTGCCGCTGCCGCCGCCACCACTGCCATTTCCATTTCCGTTACTACTACTACTCCCACTGCTGCTGCAGAGGATCTCTGTGAGGTCATCCATGATGGTTGTTTCTTTAGGGTCCACCAGATTAAACTCCCGGATGAAAAGGATGAAGTGTACGTAGAGTGTGTTCAAATGTCCATGCAATTCCAGTGCCAGAGTTTCCTTGAAGTGTGACGAATAGATGTGGGCTAGCACATGGAACAGATACTTGCAGATCTTCTTCACTAGGGATTCAAATGAGTTTGGGAATTCTTTGCCTGTTGTGAAAGGAAGGAGAGTGAAAAGAAGAGAAGCCATCATCTTCAGTTGAACGTCTGAACATATTTGTTTCCTTGAAAAATTTATTTTTTTTATTATTTTTATTTTTTTATTTTATTAAATTTATATGCCGCCCTTTTCCCTGGGGGGACTCAGGGCGGCTCACAACTTAAGGGGGGGAGGGGGGAGTTTAATTCTCCTGAGGCGATTTGCAAGCAATTAAAAACAGTAAAATAATTATTCATGAAATATTGTTTAAAACAAACAGCACATCTCTTAGACTCCTTTGTACAGGGCAATTGGTGTTCCTCTGGGAGAAAGAAGTCCAGGTAATTGGCCTTCTGCAAAGATTATCCCGTCAGCCTTACTTCCTTCAGGGTATCTTTTACAGTGCAGATGGTGGCAATGGCTCTAAAGCCGGGAAGAGCCCCTTCGGCTTTGGTAGTGATGGCCCACAACCTGAGTCATGAACAAATCCTGTTTAGGCTACTGCACCATACTTTTCTTCATTCAACTCTATTAGATACGTATTAGGTTGACAAGCCTGAGAAGTCTTTTTTTGTGCTTAAAAAGTGTGACTTGCTCATTTTGGAGAAGGTGATTATTTCAATCCTAACCATAATACATTCTAGATTTTAGATGAAAAACATTTTTGGCCAAGTCTGTTGCTGAACTAGAGGTAGTTAGGTAAAATAAGTAGTGTGCACAAATGAAATGAGATATGATTTAAGTTCATTTAATTTAAATTGGATCAAACAACAATGAATGAAAGCCATAAAAATCTGTCTGAATTAGGGTTTTTCCTGAGAATAAACATACCATATTTAGTAGGAAAGACATCCTCATCCGTCACTAACTTCTGCACTGAACTCATGACAAAGTCAACATATTGTGGGGCTGTACATTTGATCTTCTTTCCTCGTTCATCATACCAGTAGTACTGTCTGCAAAGAGAATGAGCAGTATGGTAAAATCTGTTCTGGATATGTAAGTTACCAGATAAGCTATAACCCACACATGAGGCTCCCGTGATTATCTTTTGTGCTTCTCTTCATCTCCTCAGTTATCATGGAAAGAAGTCAGCAAAGAATTGGGGGATTTAAAAAATAACTGAAATACCATGTGTGCTTACATTCTTTCTTTACACACAGCCAAATCACACCAAAGAAAGCCCAAGGGCAGCTCTTAACCTGAAAAAAATAGCTCATCTCAAGACCACCAAAAAGCAAACAATACTGCCTTAGCTGAGCAGCTAAAATCCCAATTAAAGTTTTAAAGTACTGTTATTAGAGCTTAAGCTCGCCACTCTAATTTGAATGAATGACGTTTGTAAAACTAGAAATTGGTGAGAATCTGGTGTCGTGAGCGATGATAGTGCTATAGTGCTTGGGTCAGGAAAAAGTTTCAAAAACTGCCATTTGTTTATAAAGCAATTCTATGAACCCTTGTTCTACTTTAAAAAGCAGATCCTATATATGGCAGAACTACTATAAGCTTTATACTATGTTTCAACTGCAGAAACACACTGAGAGGCCCTAGACACACTTTAGGATGCTGTTTTAGGTGAGGTGACACAAGCCTTTAGCAATGTAGTTTTCATAAACCAGTTAGTCACAGAATGACTATTTTAAAGATTTACTATATACATATGGACACACTTTAGTCTTAGGTTTTAAGGAAACAGTACTTGAAAATGGAACAGCCTTATTTTGTTTTGAAAGTTAGCAAATAGGAATATTTACAAACAGTTCCTAGAAATCTTGATTTAAATAATTAATATCCCCACTTCATTTCTGACACAACTTCGATCACATGTGTTAAACAGATGTGTACATTGTACTGAGTCAAGTGGAAAGGCACTTACTTTTTCATAAAATAAATAGAAATTTTGTCGAGTTGATGAAAAGTATTATGCTAAGGGATTCATCCCATAAAATGGATGTTACAGGCAACAATTTACGTAGTTCCAATTTAAAAAATGAACTATATTTAAAAATATATTTAAATTGAGCATATATTCTGTTGAATTAATCTTTCTCTTGAGTATATCCTTCCGTATTCAAATGCAGGTTTGCATCTTATTAATAGAATATTAAAAACGAAATGTAAGAGCAAACAACTCAATGCAGAATTGTAAGGTCTCGGATTCTGGTTTTCAACAACAGGCTGATAGATACAAATGCAGCAGATTTTGTATAGTAACATGAGCTGTCAGGAGATGGCAGCATAATAGCAGATAACTTTAACATAATAAATCCCATACAGTAGCTAGCACACTTCTTCAACTAGTCTTAAACATACAACTACATTTTATGTGCATTTTTAAGTATAAATTGTAGTTTGTGGTGGTGAAAACGTTGATCTATTATGAAGAGGGGAATTCAAACATTTCTTGGAAGTATCACATCAATTCAAAAAGCTCCTTCAAGGGAGGTATTTTCATCACAACTATATGAATAAAGATTCTGTGCTCTTTCCATGACATTTTTAAAAGGAATGCAGATTACATCTAAAGATGCATTTCATTCATGGGGCTTCAGACTGTATTAGTGAATTTTTAATGGAGCCAGCACATGTCTAAGTCTAGTACAGCATTTATAATTAACTTAATATTCAATGAAGTCTTACATTGTTGAGGGAAAATATATGACACATACTTAATTGTCATAGGTGTGTTATTATTTGAAGAGCCAGAGCAGGGCGGTGGCTAAGAAGTTGAACTTGACGCCCCTGTTTCAAGCCAGCCATGGGAGCTCAACTGAGTGTCTTTGCGCTCAGTCCCACCTGTCCCAGAGGTGGTTCTTGCGGAGAAAAAAAACATAGGAGATGGAGTAGTGTGAACTGACCTGAGCTCCTGGAAAAAATTAAACTATATAAATTGTACAAGAGGGATTTTAAATTTAATGTTCTTCACATTCAAGAAATAAACTTCAGCCAGCCTAACCTTGACCCCATTAGATAAGTTGCCTTGTCTCTTCCAGCCAGGAAGACCATTGGCAATGCTGGCTAGAAAAATGTAAAGTCATAATTCTAATTGGAGGACAACAAGCTGAAAACTTTACACTGTTAGTATTTTTACCATTGTTTAGTGAGAACCTTATTGTATGAAGCAACACCAATTACCGGTCGGTACTATTACTAATGGAATCTTGGCAGTTTCAAATATTCTGTCCATGGAGCCCAACCTATCTTCAAAATGCTATCTCAACAACAACTCTCATTCTTTTTTTTTTCTTTTTTCTTTTTTTTTTCAATCAAAGATTCTTTTATTACATTTTCATTTTCCTTTATACAATCACTTAAATACTGTGCAGTTAAAAAAAAAAGCTGCATATTCAACTCTCATTCTTGATAGAGAAGAAGAATTTGACTCTTGATGAGATTTATTTTTTTTTTTTTTAAACAATTGCAAGCAAAGAGAATAGGAATGAAATTCCTCCAAATTCAAACTGCTCTGATCATTAGTGGAGTCACCGAAGAATCTCTAAAACAAGACTGCGTTGCCAAAAGGACAAGANGTGGATGGCTGATAGGATACAAAGAGGGCTTCCGAACGCCTAAAGGGGGCCGTGTGCAAAGCCCTTCTGACATCCAATTTGTGCCAGGATCTCTCCCTGGAGGGTTGGGGACAGAAATCTGGCAGTACTATCTCTAGGGCCCTCTGGAACGGGGAATTGACCTTGGGCATCAACGCAGGGTCCAGTCTGAGGATGACCCAGTTCTCTAGAAAGGTGCAGAGATCCGCTCTGCTGGAGAGAGCGTTGATCTCAGATACTCTCCTGGCTGAGGTGATGACAACCAGGAAGACGATCTTAAGGGTCAGAAACTGGAGAGAGATCTCCCTCAAAGGTTCAAATGGTGCCTCCGTCAAGGCCTGGAGGACCGTGGGTAGGTCCCAGGTGGGAAATCGATGGACCACTGGGGGTTTCAGATTCACTGCCCCCTTGAGGAAGCGTCTTAGGACCAGGTGCTGGGATAAGGGGAGAGCATTCACCACCACCCCCAGGACCGTAGAGAGGTCGGAGACCTGTCTTCTAAGGGTGCTAGGGGATAAACCCTTCTCTAGACCTTCCTGGAGGAAGTCCAGAACCTGTGGGACAGAGGCCGAAGCTGGGCAGAGACCCTTAGCTCGGCACCAGTCAGCGAAGGCCACCCAAGAGGCGTTGTAAATGTGAGTGGTGGACTGTCTCCTGGACGCCTCCACGGTCTTGATGACCCTTTCAGAAAAATATTCTGCTGTTCCTGCTCAAGCGCCAAATGGTCAGATGAAGTCACTCTGGATCCGGATGCTCCAGAGACCCCTGGTGCACGGCCACCTCCCCCGCTGGGATCCTCCAGTGGGGGGCTGAGGACAGATCCACTAGGTCTGCTAGCCAGGGACGGTGAGGCCAGAAGGGAGCTACCAGAATGATCTTCACTCCCTCTGCCACCACCCTCCTCAGGACCCCGGGGATGAGGGGAAGGGGGGGAAAGGCGTAGAGAAGACCTGGTGGCCATCTGCATCGAAGGGCATCCGTGTCCATGACACCCCTGGTCGGGAACCTCGATATGAATCCCGGCAGCTGGGCGTTCTCTGGGGTCGCAAAGAGATCCACCGTCGGGTGTCCGAACCTCTCGCAGATCTGTTGGAAGATTGAGGGATGAAGCTGCCACTCCCCATTGTCGACCATCGCCCTGCTGAGCCAATCTGCCTGCTGGTTCTCTGTCCCGGAGATGTGTTCCGCTCTGATGGACTGGAGATGTCTCTCTGCCCAGTTCCCCAGTCGCAGGGCCTTGTCGTGAAGAGCCTTGGAATGGGTGCTGCCCTTCCTGTTCACATGGGCCTTGGCCGTCACGTTGTTGGTCAGGATGAGGACATGATGACCGGTCACCGTGCTCTTGAAGTGACGAAGGGCCAGGTGGATGGCCCTGAGTTCCAACCAGTTTATGTTGTTGCACAGGTCTGTTGGAGTCCAGCGGCCCTGGGCAATCTGGGTCTCCAGGTGAGCTCCCCAGCCGAAGAGGCTTGCATCTGTGGTGAGGATCTTTCTTCCTGGCTCTCTGAAGAGGCATCCCTTGTTCAATGTTGGGGACAGCCACCAACAGAGCGAGAGCAGCACCTGGGGTGACACCCGAACCTTGAAGCTGGCGTTGCTTGTCCCGGCTCTCTGGTATGGGAGTAGGAACCACTGGAGTTCCCTGGCGTGTAGTCAGGCCCATGGCACAATCCCTATGCAGGAGATGAATTTCTCCAGGAGCCTGGAAAGAAGAACTACAGGGACAGAGCATAACTTGCGAACTTCATGAACCAGTTGTACAATGCTGTCCTTTCGATCTTGGAAAAGGAAGACCTCCCCAGCAACTGAATCTATAATGGATCCTAGAGGCTGGAGTCTGGTGGATGGGACCAGGTGGCTCTTCTCCAAATTAATGGAGAATCCCAGGGCCCTGAGGGTGTCGATGGTGATTCCCAAGTCCTGCTTGGCAGTTTCTGGGGAGCTAGCTAAGATGAGGATATCATCTAAATAGCAGAACAGACGGACTGGGAAGGAGTGCAGGTGGCATGCGGCTGCAGCCAGCACCTTGATGAAGGTCCTGGGGACTGAGGCCAGTCCAAATAGAAGAGCCCTGTATTGGAAGTGGTTGCCCTCGTGGGAAAACCTAAGGAATTTATGGTGTTCCGGGGCAATCCTGATGTGAAGGTAGGCCTCTGTGAGATACGGATGCCCTCTAAGATGGATTTTAAGGAGGCCATCTTGAATTTGCAGTAGACCACCCTGGAATTGAGGACTTTAAGATCCAGGATGGCTCTCCACTCCACAGAACTCTTGGGGACTAGGAAAAGATTTGAGTAGAAACCGGAGCCCTTCTCCCCCTCTGGGACCCTTTCAATGGCGCTGATCTCTAACAGTTGTTTGATGGCCTTGGCCTTCAGGGCCCACTTGGCCGGATCTGTGGAGGAGGTGAAGGTGCGGAACTTACTAGTGGGGAGTGATCGAAACTCCAACTGCAGCCCGAGCCTTACAGTCTGAAGGACCCACTCATCCGAGGTGACTCGTTCCCAGGCATCCGTGAAAAGGGAAAGGCGACCGCCAATAGGGTGATCCGTGGATGGATCACTTGAACTTGCGGAAGGGGCAGCCGCCTCCTCCTCGAAAGAGCCGCTTGGCCTGCTGCTGGCCTCTGAACCTGTCCCTATGGAACTGCCTATCCCCCTGCCTGTGGAACCTGGGGTTCTGGTACCTCTGGTTCTGGGTCTCCACATCAGGCGGCCTGTACGAGGATCTCCTGGGATATGGTGCATGCCGGAAGTCTGAGCATCTGGTAGTTGCTGGTAAGACCTTCCGCTTGTTCTTATCCTCCACCAGGGTAGGATCCAGCACAGTTCCAAACAGCTTATCACCGGTGTAGTCTGCTCCTGTTAGGTGCCACTTCATCCATGACTCTGCCTGCCAATGGCGTAACCACAACAGGCACCTAGACGCCACTGAGGATGACATTGCCCGAGACGCATACTTAACTGCGTCCAGTGTGGCGTCCGCCGAGAACTGCGTGGCTGCCAGGATCTTGGAGATGTCCTGCAACAAGCGAACCTCTGAGGCCGGAGTCCTGTCCCTCAGCTGCTCCAACCACAGCACCATCAACCTGTTAAAGAAAGAAGCCTAAGCAGACGCCCTAATGGCCCATGTTATGGCCTGGAACATCTTGCACAACACGATGTCTGCCTTCTTGTCCTCTGCCTTGAGGCAGCTGGCGATGTTGCCTGTGATCACTGCTGACGCTGAGGCTAGGGTGGCAACCAGGTTGTCCACCTCAGGAACCTGGAGAGCTTGAGCAAAGGTCGGGTTAAGGTTATAGAATTTCCTCTCATTTCCCCCTGGAGTGGGAAAGGACCCTGGCCTCAGCCATTGGGATTTGAGCACCTCTAGAAACATCTCTGGCGTGGGGATCTCCTCCTTAGCCACAGGTGGTCTATGGAAGGGCCCCTTCTTCTTCTTGTCCTTGCTAGTGCTAGGCGTTTCAGACACAGGCTTAGGATCTGTGGGGGAGTCCAGATCTGTTGTGGCACTTGCCTTGCAGAGCAAGGAGCTAAACAAGGAAGGGGGGAAAAGGCCAGTGATGGTGGAGTCGTCCTCTGCCTGGGGTTCCTCATCCTCAGAGAACCCCACCTCCTTCAATCTCCCTCTTCTAAATCGGAAGCCTCACTTGCAGTAGAGGGGGAGGGAGACCTGGCCCCTCTGGCAGCTGATGTACTGGGGCGATCCTGGTGGGCCCTGGAGTGCTCTTGGGGGGCCCTGCTCCTCGAGCTGTGAGGCTTTATCCCAGAGGCCATCACTTGGGCTAAGGCCCTAGCTAGCATATCCTGAAAACTATTGGTGAGCTCAGGTAAGGCAGGCTGGAGCTCTGGTGTCTGTGGATATTCCCTGGGGTCAGGGGATAGAGGAGCCAACCGATGCCTCGCTGGACTGGGAGCCCTGTGCCTAAATGGATCAGCCCTCGCCTCCGCTGGGGATGCAGGCGATGGGGGGGGGGGTGATAGGGAGCTGTGTCCTCTACCTGAGCCCCTTGGGGAACCAGGGGATGCTACCCAGGCCTCATCCAGGACTGGAAGCCTGTGGGGAGATCGGGACCTGGAGGGGGAAGGGCTGATGGTAGCCCTGAATCTTCTGGTCGAAGCCCTGGTCATCCTAGCCTCCTTCCTAGAGGCTGATTTCTTGGCGGCCTTGGCTTTGTCCCTCCTAGTTGGGGATCTCCCCCTGGGAGCCGGGGAGACTCCCCCAGAGGTCCCCTCATCCAGATCCACACCCCCTGGGGCTCTAGGCCTAGCATCCCTGCTCCTTGCCACCTCTGCCATTTACTCACAGTTGAGGTGATCACCAACCTCCTCCTTTCCGCAGCCAGCTCTAAAGGGTTGGATTCAGCCTTCTGCCCCTGAATCCGCTTCCTTGTTCTTCTACCACTGATCTGTTGCCTGGACTGCCAGCAGGCATCACTCTGGAGCCCTCCCCGGATCACCGGCAGAGTAGGTCCTAAAGGCAGCCTCTTCTAGCTTCTCTGGTGCCTCTTGAGCGCTTTCGGCATCCGTAGGCGAATGCCGATCACGCGCTCACTCACGTGCTCAAGATGGTGGCGGCAAGATGGCGACTGCCAATCTGCAGTCCGAGCTTCCTCCTGGAGCTGGGGAGCATTGGGACGATCTTCGATGGATCCCCGGGCCTCGCTGGTCTTCGTCGGCCCCTTCGGAGGCCACGCGGTTGCTCCTGTTGCCCCTGCGATGCGGAGGCTTCCTCCCCCTCTTACGTGACCATCCGGTCACCTGGGGCGCGTGCAGATGCTGGCAAGCAGCGAGGCTTGTAATCCAGCAGCGCTGAGCATGGCAGAGGAGGGGTGAAACGCAGCTGAAGAACTCTAAGGTAAAATCCTTTGCTGTGGAAGAAATCCTGTAGGAAAAAACTCCTGAGTCTTCAAAGTGAAGGGAGAGTCAGAGTAACACTCCTTTCAGCCGGAGACTGAGGTTAATTTGGGGAGGTCAGAAGGAGGAACGTAGTTGTGGCCTCAAAAGATTACCTCAGTCTCCTAGGCAAAAGGGCTGGGTTAATACCCATTGGTTACTCCTCCCCCACCTCACTTCGGAAACAGAGAATAATCTGGAGTGGTATAGAAGTTTTCCTTGTTCTGGGGAAATTCTTTCAGGATTTTCCTTGCCTGATTGAAGTGGGAAAAGAGAATAATCTGGAGCGGTATAGAATGAGAAAGAAGTTTTCCCAAAGTAAACCAATCCAAAGTAAACCAACAATCTCCCAAGAGGATGGCCTGGTTCTCAAAATGAGAGCAACAAAATGAGTATTAATTTAGCAACCCTCATCATTTTGTACCATTATTCCTTTCTTAGGTGTCTCCAAAAATTGTTTCTCCACTTTTGGGAGGTCATTTACAAATTTCGGGTAGCCACCAGATCGGGAGTAGCTGTCGTTCTTGATGTTCTGCTCCAGGTTCTCACAGATTGAGCGCAATAAAGCTGAAGAGATTTCAGAAGATTTCAGCTCATTTTTGCTGCAGTACTCTTCCTTTTTGCTCTCCACAGTTTTCTGTTAGGAGTAAAACAAAACAAAGTAAGAGCTGAAACTTGACAAAGAAATCCATGTCTGTACACTGTACAAATTTGGGTGATCTCCCGTGATTAAACAGAGCTTCATCACAATTTGAAATGACTTGTGCTTTTCCTTCAATTTAACTAGACTAGTGTTTCTCAACCTTGGGGGCTTTAAGAGGTGTGGACTTCAACTCCCAGAATTCCCCAGCCAGAATTCTGAGAATTGAAGTCCATACTCCTAAAGCCCCCAAGGTTGAGAAACACTGAACAAAAGGATATTTAATCCTTAGAGAAGGAACATAATTTTCCATAAAAGCTTGATGATGACTGATAACTTCCCTGAAGGAATGAGACTAAACAATGACATTGCTTGCCATCTTGTCAATCTTACTGGCAGTTCCTAACCGCATCCAACTTGTATTTTTCTGGGCAATCAGGAATCTTTCTAAACAAAATATCTGGGGGCAGTCATCCTCCATTTGATGAAGAAAATCTACACAACACAACAGACAAGATCCAGAGACACTCTGGACAAATGAGGCTATTTTACCTGCTCCTTCCTGGCCTTTGCCCTTTGCGATTGTGGTGACATGCAGACAGCCTCACAGATGTACTCCTGCCCTTCGTGTCCTCATCAGTACACACTTGAGGACCTCACGGCAGTGTGACAGAGCACAATAAATGTTCCTTGTTTCTAGGCAAGATCTATTTAATCATATTTTAATCATATATCTTATATTTAAAATTTTGTGTGGTATACTATGCCTTATGTCGGGAGTGTCAAATTTGATTTCATTGAGGACCGCATCAGGGTTGCATTTGACCTGGGATGGGGGCAGGGTGTGCGTGGCCGGCTCACAAACTCTGTTTTCGCTGGCATAGGCACTACAGGCTGGGTCCTTGTTGTTGCTAGGGCGGCCGCGTAAGGACCTAAGCATCCCATAGCCCAGATATAAGAACCTCACAGGCCAAATCTGGCCCCTAAGCCTTGAGTGTGACACTTCTGCCTTATTTTGATTGTGATGCTTCTGATACAAATAAACAAACATCCTCTATGAAGGTTGCTGTCTTATGATTACCTTCCATGAATTCAGCCTGGAATTGACGTGTATCATCCTTAAAGGCACCAGCCATGAACTTCTTGAGGGCTTGTTCCTCACATTTTTTGTGTACATCCAGAAGTTCCTGGAGAGTCTCAGTGGGTAGCTCCACGCTTTGCTCCATCAGTTGCGCATAGCAAGCAACAGCTTCCTGCACGGCTGCCCTGTTCTCAATCTCCACCAAGGCCAAGACTTCATTCTCCAGGCAGGGAACGTTCCCACTAGAGATTGCATCCACATAGCCCTTGGCTAACTTTGCCAACACTGCATAGACAAACATAATAGATTGTTTGGAGCATCAGCTGCATATATGGGTGTAGATAGTATGGTATTGCGATGTCTATGATCGTTACCTTATTTTTCTCAACCAGTGTAATGTCTGATGTATTATGCGCCAGTATTTTGTCCGTTTGTATGTGAAGATCCCAC